TGACAGCAAAAAGGGAAGGAACCCTTTTCTCTATCTGCGTACCCAGAGCTCAAGGCCTGCGGGAGGCGTCCAAGAATCCAAAATGGAGCTTTCAGCCCCCTAAAACTTTAGCGAGCTTTGACTTAAGCTCGGCTCTTGAGCCTATGGTCCCCCTGCTTACCTTGGGCAAGGACACCCAACTCGTCCTCCAGCTGGAAGCTATTCGTGGCAAGCAGTTCAAGCAGAGGATCCATATGGGCTCCTAAAAGCTTGGTCAAACCATCCGCAGGGTTCCTGTTGTGCGGAACCCAACGGATTCTGCCTCCCAGGGCCTGTAAAGATTCCTGTATCACAGCCATTTCCAGCGCCGAACGGTCGTCTTCGCCGTTGGGCTGCTCGCTGTGGACTCCATCGTACAGACTCTTGGCATCCACCACGGCTATTGCGCGTGGATCAACATACCCGGGACAGTCTTCGGCTATCACGGTGGCTTGGCCCCTCAGCTCACTGGCAGACTCCTGCACGATCTGCTTCGCCCTGAAGTCAGAGGTAGTGAGGCTCAGCCACACCGCTGCTTGGCGCTCCAGGCTGCCCAACGAAGTCGAGAGCGCGATGCTTTCGCACAGAAGCGTGTTGCCTGCCTTGCGGCGGAGCTTCCTCGACCGCCACATCATCAGCGACACCGGTGCCTTCAAGCCGCGGTTGAGAGAGGGGGTGGTTATCCCCTGCAACCAACCGTGTTGCGGTTTGGTGCGACCGCTCGGGTCGTGCGCAGAGTCGGATATCACGAAATGTCTGATATCAGTCTCGGCGATCACCGGGATCTTGAGCGTGATGCGGTGAGTTTTCAGTCGATGTAAAACGTCATTGAGCTCAAAGACGTCCCTCGCTGTCGGATGAGGGAACCTGGAGGCGAGCACTGACGCCGCAGCTGCGACGTCAGGTCTGCCCTCCCTCGAGACCCAATTCAGAGTGGCCAGTGCGGCCCTGAATTGTGTCAGCTCCTCGGAGTTCAACACGACTTCCTGAGCATTTTTGCGCAGGACCTTCCTCTTGAGGATCACCGGCTTGATCCTATTGAGCACATAGTCGTCCATCGTGTGGCCCACGCTGAAGTCTGAATATTGGAAAA